ACCAGACTGCATATTAGAATGTGACAGACAGTGAAGTAGTTGAAGTAAGATCTAACGGGAGTCTTGTGTTGAGGGTGCAAATTGGGTACAGAAAATAAACAAGGGAAATGGAAACAGTAATTTAAGCCATAAAATAATTTATTACAATAAACAGTTCGAAACAATGTCTAACAATTTCGTCCTACATCCAAACGTGTCTACAAGAAACGTGTCTTCAAAGCTCGCGTGTAAAGAAGCGTCGAGTGCATTCTATTGTGGCAGCGATGCGTCCTCCCGATCTCCTCACAACCTATCTGCAGTACCCTTCTCCTTGTAAGAACAGGCGGAAGGCTTCCGCTATCTTACTTGGCTGTTCCTCTAATACCATACCGCAGTCTGAGATGCTGAGCCAAGACGTCTTGGCAGGGTCAAGGCGGCCGTTAAAGGTCACCGTGTCTTCGACGTGAGGGGACAGTGCTCCGGTCACATTCAGAACGGGCACCTTAATAGTGTTATTGTCTCTAGATATCCCCAAGTCGCTACGACGTAGATATGCGTCGATAAACATCGCCAAATTAATCGGATTCACATGGGAAAAACATTCTTTGTAAACTTGGGCTAGGTCATGGTTTCGATCGTCGGTGCTTCGGCCGAAATGATGCCACATTAAATATTCAACAGCGCTCTGAGTCATTCCGTTTGAGCGAAGTTGTCTCATGTTAATTTTCTGATAAAGCCACTCCGTCCATCCGGCTTGAGTGGAGGTGCAGTTTATCAGAACTAAAGCATCAACTCTTTGCGGGCTGATAACTGCGTATCGACCGAGAATATTCGCGCCTGCTCCGACACCAAAGCCGATGAACGATCGTATACCAAAGTGACCCAATACAAAATCAATTTGAGAGGCCAGTTCATCCATATTCGGATAGGTGTAATCTTCCGGCAGCGAATGTGCCCCTTCCTCCTGTCCAGGCGCGTTTATATGGTAAATACAAAACTTATCCAGTACCGGTCTCATTTCGACAAAATTAAAGAACGCCTGGAAATTCGCGGCATAATTGAGTCCAAGGTCATGGTATGTTATTATGGCTGGTTTGCTGCGGTCCCCGCGGACCGCCACCAGGACTTCGCCACGCGAGGTTCTCACCCTCTCCTCTACGCATGCGCCGTCGCTTTGCAATCTTCTGTCCGATGGACTATGCAACTGGACACTCTTTAAATCATCCTCTAGATTATCCGAAGACATCATATTGAGTAGGGCGATGTTTTCTTGTATCGTTGTTGGCATTTTACTAATTGCAATTTATTCTTACCGGCACTTTGTGTTTTCTATTTCACCGAAACGTATTTCTACTGCGTGATGATGTTAATTCTATTTTCACTGAGACTTCGTATTCATATATTATAGTCGCATCGATCAATTATCACTAATTATGTTCTTAGGTATATGTACAGCTCTTACAGGCATTCATTACCATCGTTTTCGTTGATAAAATCGTTGTTAAGTCACTTTAAACTCGTTTCAAATGTCACTATACATAACGTTTCGAGTGAGTACGGTACGCGATATTCTTTTGTGAGAATATTGAAGGAAATGGTCAATAGCGTGTTGACCGAACAGACGCGTGCCCCGTCTCAGCGTCGGCTCGGCACTGCTCGGCCGTTTCCGCAGCCGCTCGCTGGGTAGCGCGGGGCGGGGGCCGCGCATAGCTCTTGCCTGGGGGACTTGATGACGTCGAGGTCGCACCTCGCTGCGCGCAGGCGTGGAGTTGGCAGACGGCGAGTCGATTTCAGTTTCCTTGACATAAGTTTATGACCACCACTGGCTGATATATTATAAAAGTAACTGCAGTTTATTGATGAAAATAATAAATTTTAAATCCCATAATTTACCAACCAAATCAATCACTCGTTTTCTAAAATCGTTTTTTGGTAGAAATTGTTACTCGGTCAACATGAAAAAAAGTGTTCATACTTCTATTTTTAAACTAATGACTGAGCCCCGCACGATGGTCGAGAGAGATTTTACCGGCAAAAACCCGTCAGGTTACTTTTTATTTCAACACACGATGGCATAAATAAAATGAGAACCTTATTGGGCCCTTAGCAACACGCCAGGAATTCATTGCACACGATTAGCACAAAACAATACATTTTACAAATAATGAGAAATTCAAATCCGATGATATAAATACTAGAGTAACTTCTGCTGTACATCCATGTAGCAGGAACCGGGTCAAGGAATATTCTTCACTATTGGTTCAAGGTTTTTGCAAACTTATTGTTAAGCAATGACAATTTTTTTTAATCAAGGTTTAACTACAAAATAATCTATGAATAAGACTTATAAGAAAATGGTACTGTAATCAAACTATCATACTTATATTACAAATGCGAAAGTTTAGATGGATGAATGGATGTTTGTTAGAGTTTGTAACCTAAACAACTGAACGGATTTCGATGAAATTTGGTATGGATGCAGAGGATAGTCTGGAAGAAAACAGGCTACTTTTTTTTTAATTCCACGCGAACGGAGTCGCGGGCGAAAGCTATTCAGAATAAACATTAGCTCTTTAATTATCGTCTTCTGCAATTTTACCATTTTCTTATTCTTTTTTTAATTAACTTGATAAATTACTAATTAGAGAGTTTATTTGAACGTAACGTTAGAAGTTTTGAATTTCGATCGTATTTCTATGTTGAATGCATCTTATTTAATTTAAAACTGTTATTTATGTCATAAATTAAATGAATTAAAGTTACAGGATAAAAAAAATACTATACTTTTGTAACTGCCGCTTTCACAGCAAAATGGAAGTATGTCAAGTGTAGATAAAGTGCAATTTACTCGCTTTATTTTACACTGTAAAAGTAAAACGCAACAAAAGTAGTGCTAAAGCAGAAGCTTCTGTACGAGAGCTTGTTAGCAGAAAAGCGAGCGTGGTGTGTTCCTACAAAACATTTTTATTATCTGCCGTACAAACGATAAGAATAAAACATAGTACACATCGGACAGAAAAGTTGTTCCCGAAATAAAATACAATTGTACTTTATGGAAGGCATACTAATTTCTTTATTTTACCTTTCTGAATTATAATGAGACAAGATTCGTATTTTTGAATTTTAGTATACATGGAAATAACTCAAAGCTATTGGACCAATTTAAAAAATTCTGGACCATTAAACAGCTATGTTGACTGAGTAACATAGGCTATACATTGACTATTTATTTAATTCCATGCAGGCGAAGTCGCGAGCAAACATCTTATTAAGATGAGCAGAGCAGAGTTAAAGCAGAGTTAATCGTTTAATTGCGTCAGTAATTTTCAAATCAAAAAGTCAACGGCATTAAGAATTAACCGCTATCGCTTATGAATTGTAACTGAAAGTTTAGTGTTTACTTCGATATATGTATCGGAAGACGTCGTCGCCCTGTCGCCTTAACGAACACTGTCTCGTAGGAAACAAGTGCCTCATTGATTTGTTCCACGCTTATTTACACACGACCTATTTCTTTGTCGCATCGGAGATCTTAATGAGAAAGCTCCTACTAAACATACATATGTATGTATAGACTATGAAATTACTTTTATAAAGCACTTGCTTTTACCCGTGACTCCGTCCGGGAAATTACAACATTGTTGAAATTACAAGTAGCCTATGTGTACTTCCAGGCTATAAATATAGCTTTATAAATTAAAAGTAGTAGCCCAAACTGTGAGAAATAGGAATAAAACGTAGTTAATTGTTATAATGTATACAGTAAAATCTGTTGTAAACAGTTTTAATATTAGTATTATATTGTAATATTTTTAAATTTGAATTTATAAAGAAATAAAGAGTAAAAAACCTAAAAGAAATGTTTCTGAGCTTTCCGTTAGTGGTACGAGAGGGCGGCAAAGAGTCGACCCAAAAAAAAAAAACAATAAAACCATAGCTCACGTCGAGATTAGTTCAGGAGTTTATGAAGCATATCCATCTATACTTTCTTTTCTCAAGATAATGAATTAAAAACTTTACAATATATTAGTACAAAAATACCAGAATCTAAGAACTAAATTACTGAGAACCAAGAGAGAAAATTCAAGTTTATTTGTGAAGTTGACTACATCAATTCAGCACATTAATGATCCTCATTTTTTCTCCTTGTTTCATAATTATTTTCAGTAAATCGAGCATAAAATCCAATCCAATAAATGAAATACTCTGAATGTGTTCATTAGGGCGCGAGCAGGCGGGTCACGTAGCGGAATCAATCGGCCCTCCAATTTACTTTGTGGACTACATATTCAATACCCACCCTTATATGTACGTTTTCTTTTATTTTGCCACGGTAATTACACATTTAATTATATCAATAAATTATTAAAACTGTACACAGATTTTTAGTGGGAAAACAATCATATTTTTGTTATACTTACCAGTTACTAATTTTAGTTCTTATCCCTTTCCACCCTTTTTTAAGAGGAAAGGATGGGAAGGAAAAGTGGATTTGACGGTGGAAGACGCATATGAAGGGAAAATGTTCTCTTTTTGTGAGTCTCCTCCTCCGTCAATTAAGGGTGGGCAACGCATCTGCAATTGCGAATGTTTATGGGCAGTGGTTACTTTCCATTTCGATGTATTCAGGTGGTCGCTTGCTCGTTTTCCGTTTTTATATTATAAAAAAAAATATGCAATACGATTTTACTTGCAAGATTTGTAATTGTCAATTCTTCATTAAAAATATTTTAAATATTACGTGAGTGGAAAAAAACCGTGTATTAAAAATGTCAGTTTTATTTTTTAAAATATCCGTCAATTTCTTACACGTTAAATAATTACAAAATGTGCAATTTACAATTTTAAAACAATAATTCGACACACATTCTAAACAAATACAGTCGCAAATAAAACACCTATTATTAAAAAAAATCGATATCAACGTAGTAGCATGGAACATAAATCATAATAATTAGAATTCTCTTTGCAAGTGTAAGTATACAAACTTTTTTATTTTGAAAAACAATACTACCAAAATGTAGTCGATTTTGTTAAAAATTCAATCAATAAATGTAATTACAACATGTTATTGCACTTTCTCCCTAATTAAATAGGTTATGATTAACGATCTTCAGATGTCACAAGCCATTGTTTCAAGATAATTATTATAACTTGACCAGAAATATAAGACACCTCACCATGTGGGAAAATATAGAATTTCTTCGCGAAGATGTTAAGTCGATTGAGGCGCCCCATAATAGGATTTCTATTTTCCTGGTCAGTCTATATTTTAATATCGCATGCAGTTTATTTGGTATCCAAGCAAATAGGTCGTCGCCAAATCTGTTAACAAAAAAGCAAATATAATACCAGAAACTATTCAAAAACTTTAATTAAAACTATATAACGGTTATGACGATCAAAACATTCTGGCTAAACACCAACTGCTGTAAATCTATACTTCTATACTATTATAATAAAGCGTAAACACACACTTCTTTGTTGCCTAAGATGTCAGCAATTACAGCGTATTTTTTAATTATTCTTTCTTTAATAAAAATCCTTACACTTGCATCACGCTTTAGGCTATATATTTTAACGCCATTAAACTTTGAAGGTAAATATTTTGAATAAAAACCCTAATGTGGGAAAGAGACCAGAAGTTGCTGCCAACATCAAGGAAGCAAGGTTGCCATCATGTCATGTCATTTTGACATTTGTAATTGATAATTAAACAAATGTAAACAATAAAATAAAATTTCCATAAGTTCATGCGGATGAAGTCGCACGGGAAAAGCTAGTTATACAGTAATGTTATAACTGGCTTTATTTAAATCGCTTAGATTAACTTTCGTGATCTCGTGTCTCAGAGTAATTTAAACTTAGGAGGTAAATCATTGTCAAGGTCATTCAATTATTTACTAAGAAGGGTGACTGTGACCTTAATCATACTAATATTATAAATACGAAAGTTTAGATAGTTGGATGTTTGTTAGAGTTTGTAATCTAAACAGCTGAACGGATTTCGATGAAATTTGGCATAGACGTAGAGGATAGTATGGGAGAACACATAGGGTACTCAGCTTAGTTCCACGCAGACAGAGTCGCAGGCGAAAGCTAGTCTAATAAAAAATTTAATATTTTTTAGTTATTATGACATTGAACAGAAAACTACAAACTTTATGTCCAAGAATTTAAAACTGCATACAAAAACAGAATGTCTTAATTTTAAATCAAACAATAACTAGCATTTGCCCGCGACTCCGTTCACGCGGAATTAACATATAACTTAGTTGCCTGTGTTCTTACAATTCATGTTATGTTCATACAAAATTTTATCGAGATTTGTAAAAGCGTATAAAAGATACCTTGTTACATTCATCCATATAATCTTTTCCATATATAATATTAGTAAGTACGATAGTAAATTAAATAGATATATATAAAATCTGCAAGTCCCGTTTTACAATCTTTTTCAAGATAAAACGGATAAACTTACCGTTTACTATATTCTTCATCCGAGGCAACTCCATAGGTCGTCAGTTTCCATCTCAAACTCGTATTCAGATATTTCTACAACACTGTCAGTTTCTTCTGATTTAATTATATTAGACGGTGGTTCCTGCAAACACAAAGTAGAATAAATTAGAGCATCTTTAAACAAAAGTAAAAAAGGCGATTATTGTAAAACAAAGCTAAGTAAAAAACTTACGTTTTCTGCTTTTCTTTTTATTCCTCGCTTATTTATTTTACTGGAACTTGAACTTCCCTTCTTTTCTTTCTTTTGTTGCTTTGATAATAAATGTTCTAGGTCTTGTACTAAAATAAAAAAAATAAGTCATATTACGTTAACACACATAAACAATAATAAAACGTACAGACGAATTGAGTACCTCCTTCTTTTGGGAAGTCGGTCAAAAATCGAAAGCAACGCAGAGATGGATAAAAACTTACTTTCTTTGCACAAATCGTCGTTTCTTTTCCTTAAAGCTTCTATGGATTGTGATGGGGTCAATTTAGTCTTTAAGTGCTCTAACGTGATGTGCAGTAAATTTGCTACCGATACCTGTAATTAAAAAAAAAAAATCACACAAATCGTGAAACAAACTGTATTATTGAGTACTAACAAATATTCCTCATTTTCAAATTTAGAATACTGCAAGAACAGGAAAGATGGACGGCATTTAAAAACTTTTTAATTATTGTGGAAGGTCAGTGTACTCGAGTGTCTTTTTTTATCGCAGGGAAATCTTCTAATTGCATGCTTTTAGGTGGAAAGACGGGGTTATCTGAGATTCCTACTGACTAAAACCACTTCGGTGGAAACATTCAAGTGCGAATGACGATCCCCGCAACTCCAGTAAAACGCACCGGAACCTTATGCACTAAGCTTCTACTCGTTTCCCGAGATATAAATGTCTAGTACACCGATATTTATACAAAATGATCTTTACTTACAGAAGTGGAGTCCAATCCTATGGCATCCATCAGCTGAGATGTTGCCTCAGCGATTTCACCGCGCCTTTCTCTCTCATATTGTGCGTTGCGCGCTTTTCTCTGTTCCTGAAGTAATTAAATAAATATAAATAAATAAGATATACCACTACGCTTAACTTATTTCTTTTTAATTTAATTTACAGTTTACGTACCCGATTTAATGGCTTGCGACATTTCCCGGCCGGTCTTCCGCGTTTTCTTGTGGGTACATGAGCCTACAAATAAATACGAAAACAATTATAATAGTGATAACTTGTATCGAATTCCTCAAAACTATGTAACAATCTCACGATCTATGAGACTGCGGTCAAATGTTAAACTACCGACACTCTGTCATTTTTTCGACAAGCAGAATATATTAGAATTCATTAAGAATTAAACTCTTTAAAATTATAGTAAATTATAAACAATTAAGCCAAAAAACATCTATTAAAAAACACTCACCATGTCCTCCATTAGGAAATATCACGGCTTGAACCACTCAAAATAACATAAACACAGTAAATGGAATAATCACTAACAAACCCTTCGTTAAGTATCCTTCTGACAAGATGCATCCCCTCCATTTCTAGTTAAAAAACAATGTATTCAAATTTCAATAGAAAGTTCTTTATGAGGTCATAAACGCAAAGATAATCCTGTTTGAAAGCCGCCCCGAAATAACAATTGTAAAAATTTTAAAATTATACCGTCTATAAATATTTCTCGGTAAGTGATTAGCAAATGTCTTATTAGTGTTGACGTTTAATACCGTTAATAATTTTCAAATCTTGTTATTAAATAGTCATTCAATCAGCGCCTAATAAGACCGCCTGAAATATAAATCCACTAAACTTTTTCTCAAACTATCACTCTGAAGGATCTCATTCACCTCACATTACTTGTTCTTTTCTCTTCAAACAATAACTTGCTGACTTCAAACTAATGTTGCACAGAATTTTTCTTTTTTCCTATTTTGAACTCAATTTTGAATAACAATTCCTCCTATTTTTTATCTTTTACGTAGTTTCTTTTAATTTTGCTACCTAAGCTATCCAACACGCTATGTAAAACAAGCGCTATATATTTTCAGTCCAAGTTTAAATTACCCACAATCTAATACTAGTGTACGTTTTTAAATGGCCGTAATTACTTACAAAATTAATTTCAATACGTTTTATTTGATCTGTATTAAACCAGTGTATTGCAAATTTAAAAAAGCAGACATATTGAATTGTAGCTTAGTTCAATCGCATTGTTAATTTTTGGAAAAGCAGTTGTTCTGCAATGCACAACTCTATTGTTTTCAGACTTCATTCTAAGAATTCCAATACAAAAGATTGTAAAACAAATTTTGGGATTTAACAAGACTATTCTTTTAAGAATTCTTTATTAGTTTAATCTCTTTAGAATAATAAGGAGGTTTAGAAACTTATTGGATGTTTTAACAATAGATTTGTCTGTTTGAGGTTTTAAATACATAGAGTGATAATAAAACTAGAAAGAGACGATTTTCTCGTAACAGGATAAGTATATACAATTTGCAACATCACAAAATAGCACAATCTTTTTTTTTGTCGCAGAAACGTTTTGATTTTAAATTGGAAAATAATTAGATAGTTTATTTCCAAAATAAACTTTAAAATGTAATTTAACTCACGTATTGAACAATAACAATAATACTAGAATTATTGTATTTTTTTAAAGTATTGATATAGCTTAATATTTCAGGAAACAAAGCTAAATTGAGTCTGTTGGGTAATTTAATGATCAGTCACAGAGTAAAAGAGGCATAGACTTAGGTACATTCCTTTTCTATTGAAAATTTAAATTCGTTAATTAATAATATTAAAAAAAAGGAAAAACTTTAATAAATAAAACATTCATGAGTATTTTATACTTTAATTTATTTAGTCTTCAAGAACAAAGGAATCAAACGTATTTTACAGTTTTTAATACTAAATATCTTATCAAAACAAATGACTTTTGTAAGTTTGAATTTCGAACTATTCCAGTATTTTAATACAAATAAAAAAAATTCAAGGTTACGTTTGTGATTTCACCATTCTATTCAAATTCATTTTTACATTTTCTTCGTTATTATATACACTTACGATTTCCAAGCACATAAACCTGATCAAACTGTTCAAACTCAATAATTTTGAATGTCACAACATTTCGCACACTATTTATGTACAAAAAAAATTATGCATGAAAGTAGAAAATGATATTCAAAAAGATTAAATACAATACATATATCTGAGATAATCTTTACGAAAAACAATTGATTGATATTTGAAGTTTTGTCGCAAATTATTTCTATTTTTATTGTATTTATTTAATATAAAAACAAAAGAAGAAGAAGAAGAAGAAGAAGAAGAAACAAAAGAATATATTTCTTACATGGATGCATTCTCAAAGTAATGGTATATTGCTTACAAAAATAATCAAAATCCAGACAGTATTAAATGTAAAGTAAAATTCAAGAAGACTAAATCTTAATCCTATTAATAACTATTAATTTTATAATGAATTTTCTTACAATCATTTGTCAAAAAAGACAATGCTAAACTTTGCATTATTCTTACAACAAAAAAAAATAGAGACAACAAAAATATTGTATCTTTAATATCGATACGAAATATTTACAATTAAAGTAACACCATGTCTACATAGTACAATAGTACTAAAACTAGATTGCAGAAGATTCAAAATAAAATCAAATGTTTAATTAAACTTTAAATGTTAAGAGAAAACCATAGACAGCTTTAATTCACTGGCAACATTGTTGCATTTGTTTTTCCGTTTCTTGCCATAAGTCCAGTAAACTGATTCACACTATTGCATTATTTTAACTTTCAATCATACATTGACGCTGTTAATCTTGAGTTTTTTCACCCGTCTGGTTGTACCTTCACCATCAGAACTGTCCGTATCATGGGAACTGCCCTCCGACTTAATGCCGAGAGCTAACTCATGTGCTTCCAGATAGTTGCCAGTTGCACGGACTTTTTCCAACGCTTTTACTGCAAGGATAAATTATTAGGAATATAAATTTTGTCAAAGTTAAGAGGATATCTTTAAATCTTTGTTAGAGACGGAATTTCAAAGAATTGTAATTTTATGGGTTTAGCCAAGGTTAGGTGGGCAGCTATTTCTCCCCCAGAAAATTTTTAAACGAGCTGTCGCCATAAACTTTACACCATTTACACCATTTTGTCAACACAGAATTTAAAAAAAAGTAGCCTATAATATGCCCATCTATGTCAACTACCCTTGAGTGAAAGATTACCGAAGCAGACAGACAGATAGACTGACAAATATTTATACAATGCCATGTTCGTTATAGCAACGCAAATACATCATGTTCGTAAAATCTGGAATTTTCCTTTGGATATTGCAAACAGGCACTCCAAATTTATTATACGTATAGATATAGAAAGATAGATAAAAGTGACTTAAAACATGTTATTACAATGAGCTTACTTTGGTTCTCAAGCAATGTATTTTGCCGTTTTAGATCATCGATATCTTGTTGGTGCGAGTTGTTTTTCCGTCTCATAAACTGAATGTATTCCGCTGCCTTTTTTAGAATCTGTGCTCGACTAGCCTGAAATAATACATATATTACAATTTCTCACTCATACATTATAAATTTACTTCATTTTTATTGTCCTAAAATTGTTTACTACATTTAGTATACAAGAAGACATGTTATAGTATTTTTGAATTTCATCAAATAGTTTTAATAACTTATCTGACACAGTATGATGGACATCATCTGTAACATTTGAAAATAAAATATCAATTACTAGCGCATATATGGGCAACAAGCGGCATGCGGGCCACACCCTGCTCACTGTAAGATATAATCGGGCCAGCAAGATGTTTTGAAAAAACCCAAATAAAAGAAATGAAATTAGGTACTTATACTCAGGGAGTGACAATGAGGCCGCAAACATCAAATATTTTGATGTTGCGGCCTGTGAACATATTTGCAAGCTAATGTTTAGCCTAAAACATGTCAAAGGATGCCCATACCAAATCTGGAGTATTATACAATAGAGAAATCAAAAATAATACAGCAAAAGTGGGCCTTTTCGATATAAAATTGAAACATTTCTATTTTCACTTAATACAAAATCTACTTTGTCATTGAAAATATGACATTTACAAGAGGAGAAAATTAAAAACTCCATTGTGATATCCTAACATGTCTTGCTTAACTCTTATCAAGATTGTTTTTTATAAAAAGCAATAAAAGTCGTAAAAGTAGCTTCTTTGGGTTATAATAAATATCAAATGATGTTTTTGCACTTTTATATACTTTATGTATACAAAATGAACATAAGGGTTAACCACACTAGACATTCAGTTCAGTCCTACCCGCTGGTTTTAACTAAACAGTTGGACTGACCTTAAAAATGGCGCATTTGTAAGCAAAACTTTCAGGTGAATTGAACTGTTAAACTTGCGCCTACACATGCATGAGATTGTCAGAACTGACCATAAGTAGTAGGCTTTAGGCAGAATGTATTAAATTGTAGCATGTTGTAATTAGGTTATTTTTGTTATTATTTTCCTTAGTCATAAACATTCTTACTGTTTCCTTGCTTAGCAACTACTTAATGTTCAACGACCTTCACTTTTTATTGTTACTTGAAAGAGTCTCAGAAAACTTCTTTCAAGTAAAATATTGATGTATAAATTTAAAAGTATAAAAAAGAAGATTGACATTACATTACATACCACTTTCTCCCCCTGTAAGGCTGGGACTGTTTCCCTTAGTGATGTAAAACTGTCTTTTATATGATCTCTTCGTTTACGCTCCAGGGCGTTGTGGTGTGCGCGTTTTTCTGCCTAAAAGTTAGTTACATTTTTGAAGTAATTTTATTTTTAGTTCATACATGTCCTACGTCATTATAAAATATGTAAAAAAGGTGTACCTGTGAATAATAACCACTTCCACCGAGACTGTTTCTCATGTGAGTACGGGAATCAGAGTCATTCTCCGCCTAAAAATACATTATAACAAATAAATGATCATTATTTTAGAAATGATTATAAAACATTATTAAGGTTTCTGAAAAAAACCACGAACATCACTCTCGATATCAATGTCACGATCGTCGTCACTTATCATCTTAAACACTAAAGTAGTTACTATATTATTAAATGTCTACACAAATATTACGTATTTATAAGTACACCAAAAATAAACAAAATACAGATATATTTTCAACACAATAAAGCAAGAACGCGTGACAATTTTTGACAGATAACATGAAATGTTGATAAAAGACAATAAAAGAGGCACGGTAATGCTGTCATTGACATTTCCAAACAAATGAGACAGAAATATTTGTTTCCCTAATGTGAAAAAGAGACATTTCCACAAAGTTTAACCGACTAGCACAAAGAGGTTTGAGGTAGAAAACCCCCCACTTCGAGGACCGCGTTCCGCGATTTTCATTTATATTTTGGCATCATTGCCATTGGCTTTTTAACACTGATCTTTATAAATGGACATACTTAAAGCGTGGTATTTGATTTCGCCATTTAGCGCTGACCGTTACAGTGCGTCACGGTGGTGAGGATTCTAACTAATAACAGAGGTAGAATTAATTAATTATTGTAAAAAGTAAACATATAGATATACTAAAAACACAAAATGTTACTAAAGATAATAAAATCATATCTTGATTTTTAAGTGTTTAATCATTCTTATTTATATATTTTTTTTGAAGTAGGTGCTATTTTCTGTTGGCTCTATACTCACTATTGCTTTGGTCTTTCAATCGGACTTATTTCCGTTTCCTGACATTGTTTTTAAGCCCGCACACGCCGTTTTTAATTTTTTTTTAAATACTAAACCTTTGTCATTTCAATTATCCGAGTAAATATTACATTAAAAACTCATAGATTAGAGAAATCGTAATTAAAAAAAATCTTTTAAATCTAACAATAATGAATCCAACGCCACAAGAATCTTCATTGCAAGAAGATGACCCTAATTTTTATGACAATGGTGAAGACGCAATTAACAATCATATATCAAATCTTAAGAAATCCATCACAATTAAACGCAATCTATGCTGTGAGTTTATCATTTCTACTTGTAAATTTAAAAAATAAATTAGTTGCCGTACCAGTACAGGGACAGATTCAAGATGTTATTGTATTTAAAACATTTCTCACTCTACTAAGTGCATATTGATTAAAATATTGAATAGTACTTTTATATTTCAGTTGAAGCCGCTGAAATGGAAGTAGAAACGGCGTCGCTTTATTTAAATATGCACTGGTCTGAACTGGAAGAATTTAAACAATTATTGGAACGAAAAGCAGAGTTCGAAGTAATATTAAAAAAATTATTAGCTTCACTTAATAATCGTTTGACGGACATGAATTACGGCGGTAATATGTAAGGCATATATTTATAACCTATAATTACCTAATCCGGAGCACAAAATTGAAGTGAAAAATGGCCTCCCAAGGTCAAACTTTCGATTACACTTCAACCTTGGTATAAAACTCACCATTCTATAATTTAAAAATAATAAAATGATTACAAAATAAAGTGTTTTCATTTCTAACCGAAAATTATATTTGAAATGAGATTGGCAAATTCATTATCTATCTTGGCTAGGCTATTACAGACTTACAAATAAACGCGGTATAAAGTTGAACTTAGGAATAAACTGAGTATAAGCAAAATTTGTACTAACATTTGCTTATACTCAATCTATTCCTAAGTTTAACTTTGTACAGCGATTATTTGTAAGGTTGTTAGACTAGTAAAACTGACATAAATTTTCTCGTTTGACACTTTACATAGTAATGTACATATGTGCTTATATCCGCACTTTATAAAAAATCTAATGAGTTAAGATACGTTAATCCAATTAGAAGTGCTTAAAAGTATTACAGGGTACTTTTACAAAGGCGATTTATAGTTAGGTATAACTAGCATTCGCCCGCGACTCCGTCCGCGTGGTATGAAAAAAAAAGTGAGTGACCTATGTGTTCTTCCAGACTATCCTCTACATCTGTACCAAATTTCATCGAAATTCGTTTAGCCATTTAGGCTACAAATTCTAACAAACATCCATCCATCCATCGAACCATTCGCATTTATAATATTAGTAAGAAGTAGGATGTGACAGAGCAGAACTAACGACAACGAATAAATCAATTCATTGTACTAATTAAACTGTAAATAATTTATAATATTTTATTATTATCGCTTTAAACGCTAATTATTATTGCAATATTTATTTATACGAAGCTAATACACTTTCAATACATTGCACTCAAACCGCACTAAATGGTCGTGAATATGAAGTCTGTAATAAGTTTTGTCATTTTAATAATTCCTTTTAGTCTTGCATTAAATTCTGATTATGTGTATGAATTCGGTATGTATCTCTACGTTTATATTTTTTTTTTTATAACATAAGGTGGCAAACAAGCAAGCGGCCACCTGAATACGCCAAAATGACGAAGCGACCGCTGCCCATAGACATCCGCAATTGCAGATGCGTTGCCTACCATTATACGACGGAGCAGGAGACGCACATAAAGAGGACATTTCCCCTTCCTATGCATCTCATCCACCGTCAAATCCACTTCACCTTCCCAACCTCTTAAGAAAAGAGTGGTAAAGAGGAAGGGACTTAAATTAGGCCTCCGGCACCACACTCATCAGACGAAACACAGAATTGGTTCCATTTCACGCTTGTCTTCTGTGTGGTCGTGGTATTATACCGGGCGTGCCGGCCCTGCAGTGCTAAGATGTTAAAGCGGGCACTACCACTGTTTATTTATGTAAATGTCTAATATCGTCGAATTTCGTGTTCAATTCCTAAACAAGACTAAAAAAGAATGTAGATTTGTAAAGTTAAGGGCTAATATTGACTGGGCGAATTTGTTTTCTTTTCGTTCTTTTATTCCAATTTTAAAATGTCTTTCTAGGAAGCGATCAGGGACAGGTTATCTATACAAAAGACGGTACTATCTATTTGTTCCAGCGCGAAACTAATATTGACATTCCTGTAAGTATCCACATACTGATATTACTTGTAAAAAGATTGAAATCCTAAGTATAATATTCTGTAATAATCCCTGATCCAGATTTTCTTACATTCTAAGAAAGCAAAAAAAAAATATACCATATCATTGGAAGTAAAACATCATAGAATTTAAGGCAGTAAGCAGTTTTATATTTTACAGGTCCCTTCTGATTTTACCGTCACATACGTCAAAATCACCGTCAACGCTTTATCACCGCCAAAAGTGGATTATGACAATCTGTACCACAGAGTATCGATTAAGTACAGCTGGGTTCAAATCGCGCAATCAACATACAATATAATCGTTAAGGGTGTTCCAAACCCTTAAAATAAAGACATAAATGTTGAAATAAATGATTCAGAAAGATTTTATTGCGTTTCTAATATTTTTTTTTCTGTTTAGTTCTATCGGTATAACGAAACGATTTGGTCTTTTTTAATGTTCTACGGAATATGTTTTAGTTTTATAATCCAAGAAAATTTAAGGCAATACTGTTCTGATCAACAACAATACTTATTACACCTGTTTGACAAAAAGTACCTAAGTTACTCAGATTTCTCTTTTGACAACGAAGCTCTGAATAATGTTTCGCGCGCGAAACTAATCAAACTCTAGCATTTTTTACCTAAAGTTATCTATTGTTAATTAAGGTTCATTCCATTCGGATCTCATTGCACGCATTATGCTCATATGAGAATATTCAATAACCTGTGTTTAGAATCCATTAGTTACGGCTGCATGTAGATGCGAGATTGTTTTAAACTTACCACGATGTGGTTGCCCGTCATCTTAATTGTATTAACCTTTGTCAATTTCATTCATTTATTTTATAATCCTCATGTAGGATATCAAATTCACACATTCGGTAAGCAATCAACAAACAGTTCTCATGTATAAAAGCGATATTATAGTTACACTAGCTTTCGCCTGCGACTTCATCCGTGTGGAATTAAAAAAAAACAAAGGCCTATATGTTCTTCTGGACTATCCTCTACATCTATGCCAAATTCCATCGAGATCCGTTTAGGCTACAAACTCTAACAAACATCCATCCATCCATTTAAACTTTGTCATTTATAATATAAATAAGAAGTAAGATTATAACTAAACACATTTAAAAATTCCACACACACTTTCTAAAATCCATATTTAAAATATCTTGGTTAATATTTTTGAACTTTAGGTGAACGTATCGAAGGAGACATACTATCTTATCAGAATAAGGGCGCTATACCATTGTTTAATCCTATATATAAAGTCAAAATCGAAGTAAGTACTAGTCAATTATTACAGTTTTTAAGATAAAAACGCGAAAGCAGGACCTGCGGTGACGTAGGGCCAACGCCCAGGGCGTTGGACAAAAAAGTATGACACAGGAATACAAATCTCATGTGATAACCATGCTTATAAATAAAAAAAAAAACAAAAGGGACACCGTTGAATTAATCGTCTAATAGTGCTAGCACCGGTACAGCACGTATGGCACATTTTTAGGTTGTATTCTTAGTCTTCTAATGGTGTTTTTTTTCAGCCTAGTAGACAAGATGTGGATAAGAACATGACCCTTGTAACAGTCGAGTATCTAAATAGACATACGAAAATCGTTGTCACTTATGATCGACCGACGCAAACGGTAACATTTCGATGGAAGTACCCTTTCGTGCATACTGAATATGAAATCAAAGGTTACTCGCTTCCTAACAAATCAATGTCGATAGCAAATCTACAAAGCCTAATAAATGAATTTATATTTTAACTAGTTTGTTTTATTGGGATTGTGATTACTATGACGAAAGCGGAAGGTGTGTAAATTTTAATTCTACGCACTAGTACTTGCGATGTTTTATTTCTACCCCATCCACATAGGCCTCGTGATAATATACACGGTTCCACTGTTCTTACACTGTACGTAGTGTTTAAATAATTAAATCCAAGGGTGACATCTACCGACCCCTGGTGAATTCTGAAAGTATAAGGTACTTTCAGAATTCACCAGGGGTCGGTGTGTTTGTGATTATAAATACTACACCTTTCCCTGTAAGACAGTTAAAAAATAATTACGTTATGAAAAAATGGACATAATATTGTTGGATTGGGAAAATAAAACAAAAAGATTAATAGTAAAAATATTTCACTATTGACGGCTAACAATAGTTATGTCGTCAATTGTAAAAAATAAATCAAAATAAAGTGAATTTACAATTTTATGTTAGTCCAAAATATGCTTAAGGTTCACTGATAAATGCTGGTCGGGGAATAGTTAAAATTAATCACGGGAACGCATGTTAATATCGTCGTGTCGCTCTCGATCGGTATCGCGATGGTCTCCAGATACTCGCACGCCGGCGGACGGCCCGGCCTCCTCGTGCTCGCGCTTACCTCCCGGGTACGGCGCCGACGGCGCGGACTGCACTAGCCGGCCCATTAGACTCGCGCTCTTGTCTTTCCTAGGTCTCGTCCACTCGTGAGCCAGTACACGATCCAACGTCAGCCTCAAAGTGATGTCAGGCTCCAAAATGTGCCGCACTATAGACTTAGCAGCTGCGGAAACGGTGTCTCGAATCCTCAAACGGAACACCCAGTTACGAGACATTTGATCCTTAAGCAATTTACGCAAGTTTGAATCATCGAATGGCATAGACGCATTTAACATGATAAAGAGAATGATCCCGAGGGACCACACGTCGGCCAACTTTGGATTATACGGTGTACCACTCACCACTTCCGGGGCTGCGTACGCCGCGGAACCACAGTACGTTTGGCTAAGCACGCGTCTGTTTTCTCCATCGGTGCAGAGTCTTGCAAAACCAAAGTCTGCTAATTTCACGTTAAAACGCCTGGAAAGCAATATATTTTCGCATTTAAGGTCACGGTGGGCAATATTCTTACTGTGCAGGTAGTGCAGCCCACTGGCCATCTGTCTGAACCAAAGTTTGGCTTGGTTCTCCGGTACGACTCCGTTTCTTTTTATAAAGTCTAGCAAATCACCGTTGTCAGCATATCTCATGAATATGAACACTCTCGGCCCCCTCTGCAAGATGCTGTGCACTTGTATAATATGTGGGTTCTCAATCTTAGTGAGAATGTCGAGTTCTCGAGGAAAAAATTTTTCTAAAAAATCGCGGGGCGCCTTTTCCTTATCGAATATTTTGCACGCGAGGTGCATGCGTTTGGGGCTGGACGCATCGCAATACTCCGCCAGGTGTACAGTGGCGTAAGATCCTTGTCCGATTTTCTTGCCTATGAGATATCCCCGTTGTTCCAAGGCATTGACCTCGGAGCTGCGAGGGCTGAGCCGCTCAGCCATTGAGGTCTATCAGCTTTATCCTAACCCGGTTAGGATACATTGGACATCTCACTATTCACGATATACCCAATAGTTTCAGTGACTCTCCTGTCAAATTGTATGGTATCCGTTTTGCTTTAAATTGCCACTCAACTCTCATTAAAGAGAGTAAATAAATAAAATAAATCCTTAATAGCACGCACAAGATTTTGTCAAAATATTACATCACAAAGAATTTGGATATAAAAAACGCTTTCACTAGTAAGATATCTTCCAAAAAGACGTAGTTGTTACATTTATGATTTTTTCTTTTGTTTCTAAAATCAAAACTGATGTCTTTCATACTTGCCTGTTTCAAGTTTTGATGTAAATAGGTCGTCCTCATCAGAGATACAGTACAATTATCTTTAGACAATCTTTTACCCATTTTGTTATTGTTTTTATTGAATTATTTTTGGTATTTAATAATTATTCTTTTAATTATAATTATTTCTTAAGTGAAGTAAGGATTTATGACTCCAAATTGATAAGTGTAGGGTAAATATTAAGTTGCGTTAGATTTTGTAAAACTAATTGTTACAACCTTCTTTTGCCAGAGCATTATTGAGATTTGCATGTTGTTTGTATAGTAAAAGAAGCCTTTTTAACGTTGTTATAACGTATGGATCAATTATTGACGAACTTATACTACTACTTTAAAATCTCGATAGCATGGAAAAACCTGCAAAGAAAAATCCGAAGAGACGTTGCCTCAACGATCCATCCATGCAAACCTAGACTTTCGCTTTTATCATACAGTATGATATATAGAAACCGAGAGCGTGAGAAAGAGTGTGTGAGTGTAACGTGATATGAAAATTATAAATTATTAAATAAAGTATAAAAGCATTTTATAAATTCACTTTTGTTGTTAGGTACTTTCTTTTTATTATAATCTTTTATTGCTGGCATGTCAACGGCCGTCCCGCAAACTTTTGACATTGATATTTGATTGACATTGACATTTTAGTTTTCACCGCAACAAGCATATAAAGTCATCAAAACAATATTTATACATATAATTGGGGCCTAAAGAATAACAGAGGGGCGTATCAGACTAGTTTATCTGACGCCTGATCAAATTTAGTAGGCTTCAAAATGATGAACCAATATTTAAAAGAATTAGAGCAAGTAAGTTGACAATAATTTTGTTGATGATTGCATTAGAAATGCCTTTATAAAACGTTATTAATCTTCTTAGGATCCATTTGACCCGGATGAGTTTGTTGAGAGGATGGTACGGAGGAGTATGCAGGAATCCCGACTGACAGATGATCAAATTGATCCCGAAATGATTCATGATATATTTACTCAAGCGATACAAGATTTAAAAGTTCTACAAGAACGACAAGAGAGAAAATGTATGAGACTGGAACAAGCTGTGCAAGAGGAGGAGAAACAATATGGTGCTAAATTATCCGAGATCATGGAGCAGCATTCTGTAAGTAGAATAGCTTTTATAATTTGTTTGTTATGGTATTTTTCTGTATAACTTTATATGATTGTTCTGGAAATTAGGTAGGATTTAGTGTTTGAAATTTGATTAACAGACAGACAACATTTATTGCTTATAGTTTGTAGAGAGAGCATGCATTTACAGGTTTCTTGTGAAATTTCAAGCTGGATTAATTAATTTTGTCATATAATTAATATAAATTATTCGTCTTTTTCAGCATTGCGTGAATGTATTTAGTTCATTAGATGAGCGTATGTCCCGCTGTGGAGGCAGAGCATTGGAAGTTGGTGAGAAACTCGGTGCTGCAAGAGCTCCGAGAGCAAGGTCTGCTGCAGCTCGTGATCTATTGTCACACCTAGCTAACTTCCTTAGTCCTGGACCTGTTCTTACTGATCTTTTTAATGATCCAAATAAGGTAAGAGATTTTTAATTAAATGCTCCCATTTTGTTTATCATTTGTTCAAAATTTGAAGTTTACCCTATTATTAGTGATTTGTTGCTATTTTACAAAAGATGTTTATCTTATATCTAAGTCTAGGGAGGGGACCAGTTACCAACATGATCTTTTTTTTGTTTGTTTTACTTTTTTGTAGTTTTTGCGAGTTGGCAGTTTCACCTAGGCAAGTGACCATATCTGGTATACTGCTGAATTTTAAATATTACTCATTTAAATACCTTTTATTTTAGCTAAATGAAGCAGCTGATGTGATACAAAAATTATACACAATAGCACAAGAACTACCACCAGATAAGTTTGAAGTTGCCAAGAAGAAAATTGAGGCTAAATATGAGGAGATTGAGAGGAATCTGATCGAGGAATTTGTGAAGGCACAAAATCAGGGCAATTTGGCAAAGATGAAGACAATTGCTAATATCATGACTAATTTTAAAGGATATTCGCAATGTGTTGATGCTTTTATAGAAACTAGCCAAATGGTATGTTCTTTCATCATCAGTGTGGCTCTGCATAATAAAAATCAGAACATTCAGTATATTACTACTTAAATTACTAAGAAAATTGTGACAAAGATATATCAAATTACATGGAATGGAATGGTTATTAATTTTGATAGTAATTTGTATGTAAAACTATCTCTCGCCTGCGACTCCATCTGCATGTATTGAAAAAAAAAACAAAAGTGGGTAGCTTATGTGTTCTACCACTATCCTCTATGTCTATGCCAAATTTCATCGAGGTCCATTCAGCCGTTTAGGCTTCAAACTCTAACTAAAATCCATCCATCTAAACTTTCGCATTTATAATATTAGTAAGATTTAGTTCTTCAATTGAAGCCAGGTACAGATTAAGCACATTTATTCCATAATATTTTTTCTTCCTTAAACTTTCTTTACAGAATACTTTACTTGGTAAAGACATATTTGCTTCTGTGCTGCCGCTGTGCAAGAAGAATAATACAATAATAAACAGCGTATTCCCGAATCCAGAGCAAGTAATGAGCAAGTTTGTGTTGAACATCTTCCATCTGAAGTTGCAAAAGTATATACAGACGAAATTAGCTGACAAGAATGATATTGAGAAATATTTAAGGAACCTCTATGATATGTACACAAGGTAATTTTTAAGATTTTTAATAATGCCTCCTTATATACAAGTATTTATGTACACATTTTTGTAGTTTTCATTTTTAAGGTAGTCAAATCTTAGAAAAAAAAAATTTAGAATTAAGTTTTTAATGGGGAATTAGACAACAATAATTTTTAATAACATAATTTTTTATTCATTGTTCAACATTGTTGTTGTATCAGTAGGGTAATTAACCTTTAATCTGTCTGTGCGTCTTTCCACTGTAGATTATAGATAGGGGCATCTGCAAATGCAAATGTCTATGGGTCACTTTAGTATTTTGACAAAATATGTTTGTGCTTGCTCAATTTCACCATCTCACTAATATTGTACATGCGAAAGTATAGTTGAATGAATAATAGATGCATGTTTGTTGGAGTTTGTAGCCTAAACATCTGAACGGCTCTGAATGAAGTCATAGATGTAGAGCATAGTCTGGCAGAACACATAAACTACATATTATTTTTTAATAACACACGAAGTGAGTCGCGGATAAAAGTTAGAATACTTTAAAAAAAACCTTAAAACAGTAACCTTTTTAAGTTTTTTTTCAATGTAGTTGTTGAATATTCGATAACATATTTTTAAATACATTACAGTACACAAAAAGCATGTGACGAGTTAGTGTCAGCTGGCATGGTGTCCGCTGATGGTAATATATCTACTGGGGACCTGCGACGTGAGGCGCTTGTTAACGGCGCGATGGCAGCCGCTAATGATGGCTACGCGGCTCTAGAAATACGCAGATTAAAAGCTGTGCTCTCAAATTCTTTGAATACTTATTACAATGAGAAACATCATGTTAAGAAACAAATACAAGGTGGCGGGTGAGTGTAACTATACTTATACTATCTTTATCTGTCTACTAGCTGTTCCGGTGCCACTGCATCCGCATAAAATTATGAAAATTTTATTTTATTGTTTACATGTGTCAAATTTTCAATGCAAATGTCAAAATGACATGACGTGATGACAAACCATGGCAACCTTGCTTCCTTAATGTTGGCAACTTGTAGTTTATGGTCCCTTTCCCATGAAGGTTTTTTTCCAATTTATTTATTCCCCAAGTTTAATAGCATAAAAATATATAGCCTAAAGCTTGTCGTAAGTGTAGGGCTTTTTATTAAAGAAAGGATTATTCAAAAATATGCTGTGTTCTATGTTCTATGTTTTCATAAACACACTTGTTTGTTATGTAGGATGTCAGTAATCAAAGCACATTTTTGAATAACTATTTTTTATTAAATAGCCCTACACTTAATTCATGCTTTAGGCTATACATTTTTACGCTATTAAACTTAACGGGTAAATAAATTGAAAAAATCCTCATGCGGGAAAGGGACAAAAAACTACTAGCCAATAGCAAAGCGAGGTTGCCATAGTAACGGTTATTGTTATCTAATAAGAATGGTCTTGAATGTTGTTAGTGTTTTTTTAAGTATGTCTTATAATAATTAAAAAAATATATATATTTCAGGTTCCAAGAGCTCCGTCGTGATTTACAAGCAGTGATAGGTACCCGGGCAAATATAAACATAGCTCAGATCGAGAACTACGGCGGGGAGACTTTCCTCAGCGACCAGTTGGTGCAGAAGATGCTTGCTGATGCTAACATGTCCTTCCTGAGGTGTAGAACTGTAAGTTATTGATAAATTGACTTCATATGTACTCAGTTACAATAAGATTTTCAATAAATAGATAGTGCTCTCGACTTCTTTCGCGCGGAATTAAAAATAAATCTAGTAATAAAGATAGTTTATGTTAGTAAGTGATAATGTAACACTCTAATGGCAACTCTAAGAGCGAGCTGGCGGCCTGCTGTGGACGCCCTCTGCCCCACTTTTGGGACATAGGAATAGAAGAGAGAGAATAGAGAATGGCAAATTGGCCCAGTAGTTTTTGAGTTTATTTGTGACAAATATACGAATCAAATAGATTTATCTTTTTTTTAATAATATGAATGCGAAAGAGCTGATCAGATCTCGATTAAATTTGGCACAAATATAGACGTCTGGAAGAACACATAGGACTATTTTTTTTAAATCCCGCGCGGACGTAGTCGCAGGCGATAGCTAGTAATGATACTGACTCAATAAAAAACACAAATTTCTATTGGAACAAATATTAATGCAACAAAAGTTTAAAATTAATATTGTAATTTCTTTTCAGTTATGTACCAGCAATGAATTGCCAGGTACTGCGGTAGCTTTATTGGATGTGCTCATCCAGCAGCTGATGATCGAGCATGTGGACTACGCGCTGGACCTCGGCCTGCAGTCCATACCTATAGCTGAGAACAAATCCCCACCACAGGTACAGTCAGCTGCACTAATATGTACACTTGCTGTTGTGACTCCGTTCGAGTAATAATAAAAGAAGTAGACTATGTATTCAGTGTTATATGTGTTTTCGAATTTTGTGGAGATTATTTTAACAAACATCAATTGAGCAATATATTTGCATTAATTGTGTAAGACTAGCTGTCGCCCGCGACTCCGTGCGCGTGCAATTTAAAAAACAAAAACAAAAATGAGTGAGCCTATGTGTTATTCTAAACTATCCTCTACATCTGTAACGAATTTCATCGAAACCCGTTCAGTCGTTTAGGCTATAAACTCTACCAAACATCCATCCATCCATCTAAACTTTCGTATTTATAATATTAGTGTGATTAATATGGTTTACAAAATGTATGATACTTGTATATTTCTTTCGCTTTGGGTATCCAAAATACGTGTTATGTGTGAAATATACACTAGTCGAAGTTTCTGAAGTTTTGTAAGTATATACTTATTTATACAGCTGACTGTACAATTGAAGCAAAAACTTCAACTTGCATACGTCATATGTTTTATATGCACTTACTTTCTGTACTTATTCTATTATCTTATTTACAGATTTACTTCTTTGAAATTGTCAACCAGACGAACAAAATTGTGAAGATGTTTGAAGAGCATTTCCAAGAATCAGTATTACCATGTTTGAGGTATGTATATAAAAGTACACGTTTGAGTTGGCACATTGGGCAAAAGAAAACGCTTGTTTCTGATGTGCCAAATCAAATAACAATGTATTCTAAAATTAGTCCAAAATGTTACTAATAATATATTATTTTTATGTTACAGTTCAACAACAAAACAGAGTGAGTGTGTGCAGAAGAAGAGCGTAGTTCTGGAGCAGCTGGAGAATAAGGTAGATGCTGGTCTGGAGCGCGCCATCGCCGCGGTCGTCGGCTGGGTGCGGCTGCATCTCCATACTGAGCAGAAGAAGACCGACTTCAGGCCAGAGGGAGACATCGACACCATCGCATCACCTGTGAGTAAACGAGACAGATATACAAGACTGTTGGAGAAGTTGGAAATAGGATGCGGGACTAGATAGAGATAGAAACATAAGAATATATGTGAATAAATAAAAGAACTTCTGACATACTTCAAGTTAGAGGGAGACAACACCATCGCATCACCTGTGAGTAAAAGAGATAGAGATAGTGCGCCAGAATACTTGTACTGAAATAGTTAGGAACTAAGTATACGTGGTTAAGGAGCGTGCTATTGGAACTAGAGGGAGATAGAAACATCATAAAACGTATGAGTAAATGAGTAAGAACGATCGCCAGACTTAAAGTTAGAGGGAGACAACAACATCCCCTCACCTGTGAGTAAAGGAAATATTTCAGTCTAGAGGGATACATCGATGACAGTCTTTGAGTAAAGGAGATAGAATGAGTGTTATAGTTAAAGTTAGAAGGAGACAACTATACCGTCACAACGCCTGTTAATAAACATGACAGGCAATTACCTTTAGAAGATGACGACGTGTAAATTCATATTACAACTATGCAATTTTATCTTATCTCTAATATTGTCTGTATTTTTTATATTAATATTATGCAATTTAATTTGTCTTTAGTTACTGTTAGTAATTTTATTTATATTTATGTGTTGTCAGGCGTGTTTGGCTGTGGTCTCGTACCTAAACTCAGTGATGGAGAAGGTGTACGGCAACCTGGAGGGTGAGAACCTGCAGGCGGTGTCGCTGGAGCTCGCCGTGCGCCTGCACAGAGTCATATACGAACATCTGCAGAACTTCCAGTTCAATTCTGCAGGTGAGAGTCGAATTACAATATTTGTTTGAATACTAGCTTTCGCTCGTGACTCCGTTTGTGGAATTAAAAAATAATAGTGAGTAACCTATGTGCTCTTCCAGATTATCCTCGATTTAAATTCCAGATTAATTATTTAGATTTCTAACTCTAATAAACATCCATCCATTAGTAAGATTAACTTTAAACCTACCTTCATAAAGTTCATTGAGTTTTTCTGGAGATACTTTCTATTTATTTATTGTAATTAATTTAAACATATATCTATACAAAGAGAAACAATAAGTACCCCTTCGGGCGTGCAATATAATGAGTACAAATGCAGCGAAACAAACATTTGGGAATAACAACATAAAGCACCTAATACCATATCATATTTAAACTTTGACATTTTTAACAAGCTTAATCTTAATTATAACATCCATAGTCAAGGGTTACACCTTAGTTTTAATGCTAAGAGTTAAAGAAATCTTGAATTTTTACAGTAATTACAACAATTCTTCTAGATTCTAACAGAGCTACAGCACAATCGGTTTTTTTGTAAACTTTTTAAACTTGTATGAATTTTGTTAGTTTTTAATGACTAAATAACAATTTTAGGTGCAATGATAGCTATCTGCGATGTGAAAGAGTACAGGTCTGCGGCGTGCGGGCGCGCGGGCAGCGCGGCGCACGCGCACGCACTATTCGACGCACTGCACGCACTTTGTAACTTGTTACTTGTGAAGCCTGAGAACTTGCATCAAGTCTGCGAAGGAGAAACTTTAGTAAGTAACATTTAATTATCTGTTCTAAGCTTTCGCACACGACTTCGTTCGAAAAACCAAAAGAAAGTAGCCTATGTGTTATTCGAGATCCGTTCAGACTTAAAACTCTAACAATTTTATTAAAAAAGTGAATAGAAATATGCTGTGATTGTTAACACTCTATATGACATTTTAAAGATGTGTGTTTACGCTTCATTATATTAGTATAGACAATATTAATATTGGAAAAACACCTTCATGTGGGAAAGGGACCATATACTACAAGCTGCCAACATTAAGAAAGCAAGGTTATTATGGTAACAGTAATTACAGCAATTGAGAATTACAAATGTAAACATTTAAATAAAGTTTTTTATAATTTAATTGTTTACATTTGTCAAATTCTCAATTGCAAATGTCAAAATTACCGTTACCATAATAACCTTACTTCCTTAATGTTGGCAGCTTGTAGTGGTCTCTTTCCCACATGAAGGTATTTTTACACACGGGAACAACTAATTGTTTTATAAAATTATGTATATCTGTGAATATTCACTTTATAATATAGCGTTGTTTTTTCCCCAGGCCGAATTGGATCAGTCTATCTTACACAACTTCATACAACTGCGTTCCGACTACAAGAGTCATAAATTATCCAGTTTCCTTAAAGGACTGTCGTAAATATAAGCGATAAATCGTTTATCTTTACATAATAAATTGTTACTGCTTATGTAAATAACATTAAATTATAATAAAATGTAAACGATCGTTTGTTTTATTTTGTATATACAATGAGTTATATTTGAATATAATTGGTCATATACATTTATTAAGACATTCTGAATTTTTTTATGCGAATATTATGATCACGGCGCTGGAGAACGGTTCCCACGACTTTATACAGATTAGTAAATAAAAAGCTCTAGATGATTTTTACTGTAGAATAAGTTTTAAAATATTTTAGGTGCAAGAAGCTAACTTTAATACCTTTTTCTCAAGAACGATGGGAAGGGAACGTAGATTTGACGGTGGAGGAGACTCAGGCACGGGAAACATCCTCGTCTCCTCCGTCTATTAAGGGTAGGCAACGCATCCGCTATAGCGAATGTATGGGCAGCGGTCGCTTCGCCATATTGGCTGATTCAGATAGCCGCTTGCTCGTGCCACCTTATGATATAAAAAAATCATCATCTTCCCTGCCTTATACTACTCCCGTAGGGTCGGCGCACCGGCTTATGATGTAAAAAAAATGTTGGTAAATACATGTTTGCGTCAGAACAGTGGATAATTCAGATTATTTTAAATTCTACGGATACACTGTCGCCAAGGACTAGTCTTATTAACATATACGCTGTTGTAATTGTAACTCAAAGTTAACAGTCCGACTATTCAGTTAAAACTGTCAGAACGTTAGTTATGGAGGTACACCGGTAGAGGTAGACCTAGAAAGAGATGGATGGATTGCGGGAAAGGTGACATGATCAAAAAAGGAGTGATTAGATGACCTATGTCTCTAAGATATATTTGGGGAACAAAAACCTTTTGCGCCGACCCTACAGGAGTAGGATAGGAAGGAGCATGATGATGATGAAGTTAGGTAGGGGACTTTACAGTCAGTACTAAACACTTAGTGAAGTGTGTGAATATAGTGATAGATTAAATACAAAAGATTAAATCATTTGTCAGTCATTTTCAAGGACAATGATAAAAATAAATCTTACGTTATTTACTTGATATAGTAACAAGTTATTACCTCGTTATGTAAGCTTAAATTTACATATAAACATGGCATGACAAATGTTGCTCGTAACGCATTATGTACCAAAATACAATCGTAATCTTGGATTGGCATTCATCCACATTTCACGTAACTTTTATGTACAAGCTACTTATCTTTATTTATTGTTATATGTAATTTTAATTAAATAGGTACATATGTAGATTTTAAGTAGAGAAAGAAATTAGCACTAAAAATGCAGCCAGAATTATATCTGGACTTCTCTATAAAAAAACTGCCGATCGACACTTGCATTAACTTTACAAGAAATATTGCAAATGCAAACAAGTGTTATAGATTTTTTATTACGTTACCTCAATAAATGGTATGTTACGAAATATCATATTACGTGTTCGTGCATTTCATCTATTGCGATGCATCATTACGATGTGAGCGTTTTGTGTTTCGGTGCTCCAATATCATATGTAATAACGCTCGCCTTATCACTGCTATCTGTACGTCTCGGCTTCACTACGTCCATTCATAAGTCCTCCCCACCCCGGCCGGTGTTCAATGAACGAGCGTGTGTGCGTGCCGGGAGCCGGCGACGCGAGCGCAGCGCCCACGGACGAACTAAACGCGACTTCAGTGTCGATTGCGCAGGCCGGCAGTGCTCGTCGTACCGCGCCGCGTACAAACGTTCACAAAACAAGTGTTTAGCCGAAAAGTTCAGTGTGACCCACTCATCTATAACAAAGTGCCGTGCCAATATCGCTAATCTGGATAATATCATTAAAATCGAGAGGTAAGCACCAATGCCTGAAATGTTTATTTTCATTCAAACCCCGACGCCTACGCGCGGTGCTGTGTCGCGATTTGTAAGCGACGAATTTACATGTTATAAGTTCATTCATTGGACGGTAGGGCAGATTTATTTTATCGGCTTACGTGTGATATGAATGGACGATTAAAAGTTTTGTAATGAGTCGTTCGAGACTGTTTATTCATTACGGGCCGTTTGGACGATATCTTTGCGATCGCGTTCCGTGTGACTTCTTTAGTTGGCCGATCGGTGCGTTATCTAGGTGAGCCCGTCCGTTCCATTTCGAGTGGTGTTTTTATCCCGGCTCTACCTGAGCGTCGAGCGTCGAGTGGAGGCGGTGTGCGGTGCGCCGATCGTTTCGCCGCAACTCGTTCCTAATGATCGCACTCTTATACAAAACAGACCGCACCTTTCCAATAACAATTTCATTTATATTCAATATCGTATCGACTGCGTCCCAATTTCGCACAACGGTCGACGCTGTTCTATTATTAATTCATCGTGGACCTTTAATGGGAAAGTATCGATAAGACAAAGCAATAAATCCATAACTTTACGATCGTGTTTACCCTTTGTAGTGTAAACGACACTAGACGACACAGCCCGGTCGTGAAATGTTTCAAGCAATACTGACAATGTATACCTACATATAATATGTAAAGTAACGTGACGTAAAGTTACCTATATTTAGTTGCAGGAGGCACTCGATAGGTGTATCTTTATTTGTCTTTTATCTATATGTTTAAAAGTATAAAATTGCAATGATTCGATACTGATCACTTACCCAAGCGATACGTAATATATTTAAATATTCAAAGTGTATGCAAGGCAAGCGGCCTCATTGTTTTAAGAATTTAATATTAATATCTCCCAGGCTATATCAACAACCTCACCGTTTATTGACCCGGCAGTGAAAGAAAACATCGCGAGGAAACCTGCGGGTCTGAGAAAAATATTTTGACGAACACTATGGCCGTCAGTCTACAATATACTCTTTAGAAATATTTTTTGAATTGATGAACATTTAGAGAGCTATAAAGGTTTTACTAAGTACTGTACTGTATTTAAAAATGAATGTATGAATTAACTAAAAAGGTTTAAGAAGAATTTTTGTTATGGAATCATTGCGGCTTCCCTAAGATAGTTGTTGAAAGATCTGAGTTTCCGTTTCGCTTTTATAGAAAAAAACAATGTAAACGGCGATTAAAATCACGTTGAAGTATAGGCTTGTTTTCGGCGTGCGTGCCCATCCTCAGTATGACAAATGTTAGCTCACCTAATCTAACATGATACCGCTCTCATATCGCAATCTCGTCTAATTGCTCCCACAAATTTGACAATAAACAATGTTATCATATTCATTTATTGAATTATTTTTATATAAGGAAAAGTCGATACAAAAGCAAAGCCATAAACAAAAGGCGCATTAGGTACCTGGCTATCTACAAACTGAAAAAATAAAATTTAAAATAAATGAACTACCTAATTTCTAACTATATTTTCCTATGACTGTTTTTTAGTCACGGCTATTCGTACAACTTTTTATTTAAGAGAAAAATTAACAACACATGTTAACTATAACCTATAAAGTTGCAATAATTCCACAGCTAGCTTAACCAAACGATGAAATATTTAAACCAGATATGACAGTAGAAAAAAGTATGTCAATCTTTTTCATTAACCATTCTTGGCAAAATTACGTTTATAAACATTTTTGTTACTTATTAATTTCTTATTTGTCCGTAAAAGCATTTTCAACATGGCTACTATCTCGCAACCCGAATACCGTATGCCCCTCATTAGGTTGAATTCAGACTTTTTTTGTAGTCGAGAAAAATACCAAATAATTTATTTTAGAAGGATTTTTATTGTAGGTTTAAGGACCTTATGCAATAATGTTCTATCATATAATAAAAACAATAGGTATTTAAAAAAGAGCACGAGAGAGAGTTGTAAAAGGCATCATAATACGATTACTAATCTTACTATTATTATAAATGCGAAAGTTAAGATCGTTGGACGGATAGATGTTTGTTAGAGTATGTATCCAAAACATCGAACGGATCTTGATGAAATTTGCCATAAATTAAGAGAAAGAAGCAAGAAATAATTGGAAACTTAAAGAACACATAGAACACAAGTCACGCGGAGGGAGTCGCGGCGAAAGCTAATAAGTTATAAATGAATAATCAATTCCGTTTAACCACTCTAAACCTATGCTTAGTCTAGACTTGTGACGTTAACAATTATGTTGAAGAAAACTTTAAAACCGCAATCGTAATGCCGCAAATATCAATTGCGGTTTATTTAATACCAACATAATATAAAGATAAAGTCTGTCTTCGTTAGAAGCTATATTTAGATTATATTCTTTGAGTGTTAATCTACTACACAACAATAAAATTTAATTCCTAGTATCCAACTATAAACCTTGTAGCGGCTGTTAAAATAAATCTCCATGATTTTTCAAGGTAGACTCGCTGAATTTTATACACATATTGGAAATTGTAACATAAACATCTACGTTTCAAAACTAAATCTGTTATAAAACTAAAGTAATACTGTCTGTTTTTTCAATTCTTCGTTTTTATATTCAACACTAAATTATATAATTTCAGTTCAATACAATAGGAACTTAAATTTAGACACTCATTTTAGTAGGATTCTTTTCAAGTTTACCGTCTTCCGGCAAATAATATTTGCTATTATACTCAGTTTATTCCTAGGTTTAACTTTTAATCGCGTTTATTGTAAGGCTGTTTATCTTCAGTTGGAGTAAAAGAGAATAACGCTGGTAACCATTCTTTGTCCTTTAATGCTGTATGTCTATAGAGAGATGCCACATGGGTGATGTTGCACCGCATGCATATGCCATACGATTATGCACAACAATGCAAAGCGCAAAGACTTTATAATTGTTTGATAGAGCCGAATATATGGCATGTTTTTCGTCCATCTGGCATCTCTCTTTTAAGTAAATTTGCCGTACTGCTGGACGATTCATATGTGATGAATTTGGCTTAGTTTATTTACATTACTTACTACATGCGATGTATTTAGCTAGGAATGATGCACCGATGACTAATGCTAGTCTTTGAAGGTTACTGGCAGATCTTAGATACGTGACTATTAATTTTCTATTAAATAATAATGCAATTTACAGATAAACATTTGTTTCACTATATTAAGTACTCTGTACTTCAAATAGGTCTATTAAACTGCT